GATATAGCTGGTCTTTAAGTTTTGAGTCTCTAATGACTCTAAGGCTATCTCATTTTCCTTATACTGGGAAGGTTCATTGACTAGATCAATAACAACACCTTATCCCAAGTGATACAATCAGCAACACCATTGCATCAAGTACATCTTTGAAAATGACATTTTGTGGTAGTTATTAATCTATCACCTTTAGCTGTGTGAATTAAATCAAGATTGAGGACCAACCCAACATATAGTGAATAAACTCTTCAATAGAACAACTTTAACCTTTGGGATGGGGAGTTAGAAGGGGTTGGGGAGGGAGGGCTAGATGGGAAGAAGGATAGGGGAAGGTTAGCAGTGTGGTCAGAGGACACAGGTGAGAAGGAAAAAGAGAATACTAGGAAAATAAAGAAGAACTCTGAATGAGGACCAAAACAGGGACAAAAAGGGAAGATGAACAATGTGGGAGAGCAAGAGAGTGAGTATAAGAGAGAGAGAAAGGAAAGAGAAAAGAAAGAAGAAAAGAAAAGAAAAAAAGGAGAGCAAAACAAATATTTGCAAAGAGTAGGGGAAAATATTAAAGATAAGAGGAGCAAAAGAAAAGAGAAAAAAAACAAAATAATAAAACTAATTTTGGGAATAAAAAATAACCATGAAGATGAAGGGTCTCTTTCGGGGCATGTCTCTGCTGTCACAATAGACAACGTGGGTAGCAGTGTGCAGATATAAGTCAATGAGTCTCAGCAAGCTAGTCACAGACCCGTGAGATTCAGGCAGATTTCTGGCTGCGAGTCCCAAGTTGAGCTCCCTGTCCTCCTGCAGGGTTGAACTCTGCAGAGTTGTCTTGCAGGTTCCAGCTGCCTTTCCCCTGAAGATAGTCCCAGTCCTGAATGGGAGGTGAAGATGACTCCAACTTACCCAGTATAGTGGTCTGATGGTCCAGTGTCCTCTGCGTCTTTGTAGTGTGGACTCGCGACGTTGCTACGGCATCTGCAGGCCTAACACCCAGATTTTACTCCCAGGGACTCAGTCTTTCTACAACCAGGTGTCACCTTAGGAGCCAAGACTTCCAGAGCAGAGGCTGGCGGGCATCGAAAGAGGGCTGGTGGGGCGCAGTTGGCTTTGGGGTCCATCCCTACCTGCTGTCCACCTCTCTCATTGGCTCTTCAAGGAGAAGAGAATGTTTCTGGAAAAGTGGAAAGAGTGATCTCATAGACCGGGCTGTGATTTCATTTCAGCTTCAGCGGGAAGAATCAACTGACTCCTTGGTAACAAAGCTGTAAACACACACCGTCGCTCGCTAACTTGCTCGTGACACAGGGACTTAGGCAGAGCCTCAGTCCCCAGCTCCACAGTCCATCCTGCAGACACACAAAGAATGTGTGCTGGACTCCACTCAGTGAGCACCTGCACGTGCTGTTTGGTCCCTTTTGTTAGGGCTTGAAAATACACACATGTAGCACATGTGTCCGTGTGTGTGTGAGTCCCCTTTAGGGAGCTTCCAGTCCTCTTAAGGAGACAGCTCTACTTCCCATTTGATCGTCAGTATAGTCAGGATAATCTAATAAAGACCGTATCTGGCACTTACCGGGCACTCACTACATACCAGGCTGTGTCTTGGCGCATGCCAAGGACTCAGCCAGAGAAGCCAGTCACTGTCACATCAGATGATGCAACTGCCTCCTGTCCTGAGAAGGAGCCCATCCTGATTTGACAAGGGACCAGAAAACCCTAAAATATCGCCTACACCTGGGGCAGGGGAGAAGCACCTCCCAGGTGGGGACTCAGGCCAGTTCAGCACTCCCTTCTCAGCAAGCTTGACCCCCTGAATGGTCAGCTCCCTAGAGTGGGGATGGCCTGAGAGCCCCCAAACAGACCTCTGCATCCTATCCTGTTCCCTCTGCCAAGCTGCAGAGGAAAGGGCGATAGAGCCGTCTGAGCTCCCGGAAGCCCGCGTGGTGGGTTTGCAGAATGCTGGCAGGCGCAGACACCCACTGGCTTTGGCAAGACCCATCCCTCTGGAGCCCAGGCCACAGGGCGGCCGTGTCCTCCGTGCCTCGGCCCCCACTGTTACTCTGAATTGCCAGCTGCTCCTGAGGTAGGGAGGCTCATTCTTCAACTTTCACACCAGACAGCCCACGCCAAGGGCAGAGCTGGAGCAACTCAAAGCGATTTTCCAATTAACAGTCACCCAGCTAGACGTCTCTGTGGCAGGAAATGTCACAGCTTCCTCTACCCCAGGTCCTGAGATGCCCTTGTCAAAGTTCCCTGTCTCATTACCATCCAGGCCTGGAGGTGCTGCCCTAGGAAAGGGCCGCAGTGAATATGTCAGCAGGATACGGGGCTGAGTGGTTCCCCGCAGCCCTCGAAGCTCCAAGGCACCATTCCCAGCCCCGGTGTATCTTTTTAGGGTTGGTTTTGTGGGTGAGGGAATAATTCGCAATCTTAAGGAAGCTCTCCACACATCCATAAGAACTGTCCTCACATTTGGTCAGAAACTTTCCATGGGGACCGACTTGGGAGAGGTTTAGAAAGAAAATTAGGGAATACAACAATTACACAAAACAAGCAATTAAGCAAGTCCCGCTGCCTGGAGGCACAGGGCGCTGCAGACCGGGCTGCAGCCAGAGAGGGAAGGAGCAGGAAGGAGCCCTCGAAGCCTGCACAGCCCTGAGCCGACCCTGTCAGCCACCCCTGGCGCACGCGGAGGTGAGCAGCCCTCAGTGGTTCTGGGAATGTAGCTGGGGCGTCCACTGAGCTGCCTCCTCCGGGTGGCTCCAAGGAGCATCTGCCTCTTGCCTTTCCAGCTTCCAGAGTCCGTCCGTGTCCCCGGGGCACGGCCACCTCTCTCAACTCCGGCTTCTTTCGTTCCATTTCCACCTCGCTGACCCGACCCCGATCCTCTGCCTCCCAAGCGTGAGGATCCTCCGGATGCCATTGGGCTCAACTGCTTCACGCAGGGCAACGTCCCCCTCTCAGGACCCCGAGTTAATCATATCTGCCGAGGAGTCCTTTCTGACCCCCGAGGCCGGACAGTCACGGGTGCTGGGTCAGCGCGCGGAGCCCTCGTCTGAGTCAGGACAGCAGCACTTCTCCAAGGCTGGGAACGGCGGAAGGGGAGCTCTGCCAGCCACAGAGCACCCCGGGGCCGTGGGAGGGAGGACACCAGTACATTAGCAGAAGCCAGGAAGCAGTAGAAGAGACGTGAGAATGGCTGACACTGACAGCAGCACCGCCCCGGCAGCTCCGGACACTGACATCCGCCCGCCTGTGACACCACGGTTACCCATGTAGAGACGAGGCCCAGAAACGGGGTGCTGCTTGCCCGAGAGCACAGCTCATGGAATCTGCAGCAGAGGTGGGGTCTGAGCACAGGCGGGAATCAAGGCCTACTGTCTCTTTCACAGTGAGTTCCGATGTTTCCAGACACGAATGCCTCCCGTGGGAAAGCGCACTGTCCCTACCACTTTCCAGCTGCAGGAGATGAGGGCAAGAGCCTGGGGTGTGGAATGAGGCTTTCTGCTGGTCCCTGGTTCCTGCGGCCTCCTGCGGGTCCCCGCCCGTACTGCTCCTTTACCCCAGGGCGCCTCCTCAGCTTCCTTTGCCCTGCAGCCCTGGCCTCCTCTGGGGACCTGCTCTGGGGCGAGTGTGGAAGGTGTGATCAGTGCGCGTGTCATGGTGCCATGTTCCCCGGGGCCAGGGGCTGCAGGCTTCCTTCTCTGTAGACAGCAAGGTGGGACAAGACGTGGCTGGGGAAAAGGGGAAGGCAAAGAGGGATTGACTTTGTGCGAAGCATTGTTATGTGTGTTGGAATGGAACGAGGGGAGGGGTCAGGGGACTCGCGGGGCTGCAGGTGACCAGCGTGGTCTCCCTCTGTCCCCACTTGCAGGGAAGTGGCCCCGCCACGGCCCCAGTGCAGAGCTGCCCTCTGCCTCTGTGTTTGACCCGAAATGGGTGGGCCTGTGGGGCTGCAATCTCAGTGTGCGGCACGTGTAGGGACTCTGTCTCTGGGCTAGGTTGACAGGGCTGCCCATGTCAGGGTCTGGAACACCCAGGCCAGGGAAGGCTCTGCAGACTGGGCAGCCAGAGGAGGGTCCCCAGGGCTGCAGCCAGCAGAGATCTGCCCGGGGGTGGGGTGGGAGTGGGAGCATTGTTGCCCAAGGACCCGAGCTGCACTGCTCCAGGGGTGAGGGCAACATGCAAGAGGTCAGGGCAAGAGAGCACAGGAGCGTTCTGGAAGCGAGACAGCCTCATGGCTCTGGCCATGAGGGTACCAGAGCCCTAGGGTAGGGTGCCTAAGTTATTGTCCCAAACGGGACACCTGAGTGAAGGGGGGCTACAGTACTCACACCAGAATGCGTGGTTCACTGCCTTGTGTTGATGGCGTGGGTGGAAGGGCCCAGCCAGCACCCCCAAGGGACCTCTGCCACACCCCTGCATCGCACCACTGCACAGAGGGACATACACACTGCCCTGTCCCCAGGGGCCCTAGGTGAGTAGCACACAGACAGGATACGCTCTGGTAGTGGATTTTACATGGGAAGGTTCACACCTGGGACACCCCAGGGGTGTCACCTGTGAGAAGGCTTGAGAGATGAGCAAAATCCCTCTGACAGAGGCTGGTCAGCTGTGAGTTGCCGTGATCTGAAATCCTGAGAGCTCTAAAGACAATTTAAATCCTCTGCTGAGCATAGGTGTTCTCAGCTGTGGAGGCAGCCGTGGTACATGGCCTCACAGGTCCAAAACAGTGCCCCGCCAGGTCAATACAGCAGAGCAGCCACGGGAAAGGCATCCGCGCCTAGGAGGGTCTGTTTCTGTATGGGCTACATAAAGTGCGAGAGAGCCCAGCTCCCCACTCTGACCACGAGGAGAAGCCAGATACTCTACATGATCAGAATTTTTCTTGAGTCCCATAGAATGTTGAGGTCACAAAGCAAATAGGTGAACTGAATTACAAAGAGCATCATGACACATGGATTATTTCTTTGGCAAAGCCTGAAGGAGAAGTAGTTACCATAAATGCAACAGAAAACCCACTGCTGGCATCAAGTGATTTCTTAGGTGTGGAGGGCGAGGGCTTGGGGTTGAATGGTGGCCCCCAAAACCAGATTCACCTCTTAACCCTCACTTGCTTTATTTGAAAAAAGGGTCTTCGTGAATGTGAGTAAACTATAGCTTTTGAATCATCTCTGATGATTCAAGTTGGCCCTAAATTTGATAAGTGCCCTTAGATGGGACTCACAGAGGAAACACATAGGAGGAAAGGTAGTATAAAAACAGAGCTGGAAATTAGATGGACTCGGCCACATGCCACAGAGGTCAGGAGCCTCTAGAGGCCAGAAGAGGCAAGGACAGCACTCTGCCCAGAGTCTACAGCAAGCATGGCCCTCTGGACACTGACACTCCAATTCCAGACCTCTGGAACAGCACCCTCAATAAACTACAGGGCGGGATGGCATGGCCACTTGGAATCTTGGGATTCTAGACCCAAGGGAGCCTGCACTCACCATGGTTTTCTACGAGTCTTTACCAAGCATATTCAAGAAAGACGTGACAGAGAAGGGAGCCTGAGGGAGTCCACCTCCATGGTGCAGACATGAAACTGGCTGCTTTGTGACCCTTCACCATGGAGCAAAAGCCATGTGGAGAGAAAGTAGCCCTCAAGGGCCCAGGAAGATGCTCTGCTTCTTGGGGAGGAGAGAAGCAAAGGCCACCTCTCCTGCAGAAGGGCTGAAACCTGGCTCAAGCACAGGCCCCTGCATGGATTCAAAGCAGAAGTCTGCAGCTCGGTGCTCGGGGACGCGTGGGGAGCTCTCCACCTACAGCCCTCACTTGCTGATAAAGCAGTTTGGCTGTTGTGGGCAAAAAGCAGGAACACTAAGAAAACCCATCCCTGAGTCCCAGACACACACCTAAGACAGAGCTTGAGTAAGAGAACTAGGAAATCATTCCTGACACTACCACAAGGCAGGCACCAAGCAACAAGAAATAGGCCTGCTGGTAAAGGGCCCAGTGTGGAGAAGGCCTCTTGCTCTGGTGCTGCATGCAGGGCACATAGAGAGCTGAGGGTGCTGCAGGACCATAGAGGAAAGCTGCAGCAGTCCAGGTCCAAAGTAAACACCAGAGAGAGCATCAGACTTCCAGGTGGAAATCTGGTCACTAAAGGCAACTCTAGCAACAGAAACTTTCACCCTGCTCAACTGAGCAGATTGATTCAACTCCCACACCAGCAGCCTGTCAGAAGATGCCTGTCCATTTCCAGGCATACACACTGTTCATGTCAATCTCTACTGTCATTTTACATACAGTAGCCTACATTCAATTAATGCATTGTGAGATATGCAGAATCTCTAAAAGACAACCCACTGTCAAGAGGTAAAGCAGTCAGTAGAGTCAGATCCTGAGATGATCCAGGTGTCAGAACTATTTCAAAGGGATCCAAAAGACCTGTAATCAACACGATATATAGAGTATGAGCCAAATAAAAAAGTATGAACAAAGATGTTCTAATGGCAAAGTAAATACCATGTAAAACAAAGTGAAATGGAAGCACTAGATTTGTTTTTAATCAAAAGTGAAGAACTCCTTCAACAGGTTTATCAGAAGTTTGAACACAGTAGACAAAAAAAGTCACTGACCTTAAAATTGGGTCAATGGAAATAATTCAAACTGAGATAGAAAGAAGAACAGAGGAGTAGGAAAAAAATTAAAGCAGAACAAAGCCTGTAAACTGTGGGGCAACATGGAACGTGCAAATCCATGCGATTGTGGTCCCAAGAGGAGAAGGCAGATGGAAGAAAAGGGGTGGGAGGAAGATTTGTGCAGCTGTAGCTGATGATCAACCAAAATTAAAGAAAAACAACAAACCAAAGACCAAAGGTACGCAGAGTACCTTAAGGAGTTTAAATATAAATAAAAACACTCAAACACATCATAGACAAATATTGGAAATTAAGATAAAGATCAGTCTTAAAAGAAACTTGAGAAAAATACGTATTACCTACAAAGGAAAAAAGGCAAGCATTATAGCAGAAACTCTGTAAGCCAAATGGCAATGAAATGACATCTTTGAAGCACTAAAAGAAAAAATTTGCTGTCCACTCAGGATTCTGTAGCCTATGAAAATTCAAAAATGAAAGCAAAATAGAGACTTTTTGAGATAAACAAAAGCTAGATTAATTCATTTGCCACGTTGCAATATTATAAAAATTAAAATTATTCAGGCAGGAAAAGTATCTTACCAAGTATAACAAATGCACACAAATAAAGGAGGAGTGATTTGCTAGAAGAAAAATCTCAGAGATTTTCATAAGAGCTCCTAAAACAATTGGAAGTAATGTGGTCACAAGATACAAGATCACCATACAAAATCTATTCTCTCCATACTATGAAAAAATAATGAAAATTAAACAGTACTATTTACAATAGCCTCACACCAAAACCACAAATTAAATGTGTAGGCCCAGCAGTGTGTGTGCAAGATCAAGTGTGACTGCTAAAATCTGTAAATCACGAGTGAAACAAATTAAATAAAACCTAAGTAATTGCACATACACCAGTGCATGGATTCCAAGATCCAGTGTGGCTCAGGTCACCACTCTCTCCAAACTGATCAACGGATTCAACACAATCTCAATCAAAATATCAGCAGGCACATTTTTTGGTAGAAATTTAGAATCTAAGATCTATACGGAAATACTAAAGTTCTACAATACCCAAAGCGATTTGGAAAAAGAATAGTTGGAAGACTCTCATTATCTTATTTCAAGACTTTCTATAAAACTACAGAAATCTAGAAAGTGATTTTGAAATAAGGGAAGACCTTATAAGTTAATGGAATAGAATAGAAAACCCAGAAATAGTCCTAGACATACATGGTCAGTTCATTTTGGGCAAATTTTCAAAGAAAATTAAATAACAATATGCAACAGAAATGGACCTCAACTATGACCTTATACTATACACAGAAATTAACTAGAAATTATTCACAAGTAAATGTCGGAGCAAAGTAGTAAAGGTTTTAGAAGAAAATATAGGAAATCCTTTTGGTGGTGAATTAACATGATCTTAGATAAGAAACCCCAAATACAAATAAAGAGCAAAATAAAGGGTAGATAATAGGAAGTAGGGAGACCTTTTTTTATTTTTATTTTATTTTATTTATTTTTTTGGTACCGGGGATTGAACTCAGGACCTTGCGCTTACGAGGCAGGCGCCAGAACCACTGAGCTAAATCCCTGGCCCGGGAGATCTTTTTTTAAATGGGGAGGGGAACAAGAGTCGGACAGAGCAGAAAGGGGTGGAAGGGGAAGGGGCCAAAAAAGAATTAATGGGCCGGGGATTTAGCTCCATGACACTGTGCCTGCCTTGCAAGTGCAAGGTCCTGAGTTTGATCCCCAGTACCGAAAAAAAAAAAAAAAAGAATTAAGATGTGTTATGTACTTGTTCAGATTCCCCACAATAAATGTAATCATCATGTACTGCAAACATGGACTAATACAAAAAGCAAAAAATCTCATATTCTAAGGGGAGAGAAAGTTATCTTAGACATGACATACAAAGTACAGCTGCAAAAGAACAAGTGATAAATTTGATTTTATCAAAATCAAAAGCTTTGGTTCTTCTAAAGATACTTGAGAAAATGAAGCAATAAGCTGGAAAGTGAAAGAAAATATTTGCAAAATACGTATTGGTATCAGTCACTTTCCTATCACTGAGACAAAATAGCCAACACCTACAACTTAAAAGAGGAGAGGTTTGATTTGGCTCATGTTATTGGGGAGTTCTGTCCATGGATCCAAGACAGGAACTCATCATGGTGGAAGGATTTGATGGAGCAGAGAGGCTTACTTCATGGGGCCAGGAAGTAGAGCAGGGGAAAACAATGAAGGGGCCAGGGATCAGACATAGACTTCTGGGTCATGTCTCTACGACCCACCCAGACACACAAAGAAGTGTGCTTTATTAATTCCCTGAGCTTTTCTTAATCCCATTGAGTTGGCATGTCATGATTAGGTCACAAATAACCCTTGTCACCTTAACACCCAAACACATTTCCTTAAACCATACTTATTCTTTAAATAAACACAAGAATAAGTTAAGAATTCTGCTAAACTTATTGCAGTTGTCCTGTGTACCATGAGAACATAATAACCCCTTTCCCCAAAGCCTCAACAGTTCCAGTATTTTTCAGTGATCCAACCCCAAGTCTCTAGGTTAACATTAGCTGTTAACCTCTGTAAAAATGAAAAAAAACCCCACAATTTTATAATCCCAATATACACTAGCACAGGGTAAGCATTTCCATTCCCAAATGGAGAAATAGAGGGATGGAAAAGAATGAGATCAAAGTAAATCTGAAACCCAGCAGGACCACCATTAAATCCTGCACCTCTATATCCACCCTACGGGGCCCATGGTGGTGAGATATGCGTTCCAAGGGCCCACGCAGTCTCCCTTTTGAACTGGTTCCATTCACAGCCTGCACATTTCCTTGGCAGATGTTCCACATTCCTGGCATCTCTAATTTCCTTGGATCTCTACTACTCCTTTGGCTTCATTTGCACAGCTTCATACACCTATTTATCAGGGGCTCCTTGCCTAGACTCCTAGGCCTTCCTTTGAAATTTGAGATTTGAAAGCTTCCCTAAGTCCACAACTCTTGCATCCTGTATGCTAGTTAGTACAACCAGAATCACATGGATGACATCAAGGTCTACTGTCATTGGAAGCAGTAGTTGGGCCCCTTGGACCATGGCTGCAGCAGCCTCTGAGTATCTGAATGGCTGAGCACAGTGAAATGAATCCAAGGGAACCAATTCTCTGGAAGCCCCTTCTTGAACAGGGGTTCTAGGGGATCTCTCCTCAAATGAAAGGTTGACATGTTTGCACCCTGTCATGGGTGGGGTATTACTGTGATGGGTAGAGTTTTGCTGGTTCTTGAGATGCCCTTGGGGCATTTTTCTCTTATCCCTTTTCAAAATACTTTGTTGCTTTTTGATGGCACTAATCTCTTCAGCAACCCCATCTTCTTTGGCCCCCACTTTACATATGATTCCCTTTGGGAAAAACTTGAAGTTTTTCAAATTTTTCTGCTCTGCTTTTTGCCTTCAATTCTCACTATAAATCTATCTGAAAGAAGCTGTCAGTACCCATGCTGTAGGCTAAAGATTGGACTGCCTTGAAAATTTCTCTTCCAGTTCAATTAGTCCAAGCCCTTAAACTTAGTCTCCTGCAAAGACTCAAGGCATGTGCAAAATGAAGACAATTTTTTTTTGCCAGGGCGTAATACACATGTCCTCTAGTCCAGGTGCCAATGGGGCCCTGGTTCCCAACAGATACCTGTTGAGCCTGGGTTTTACTCTTGCATGCCTATCAATATTCTACTGAGTACTGACAAGAATCTCCCAGCAAGCTCTGCTTACAGCATTCCAGCCTGCTTCTCCAAACTTTTCTAAACACCTTCTGTAGACCAGTTCCAAAGGCTTCTAAACAGCATGGTCAGGTACAGTCACAGCAACAACCCATTTCTCTAGTACCAATTTTCTATATTAGTCACTTTTCTGTTGCTCACAACTTAAATGAGGAGGGGTTTAAGTTGGCTCGCAGTTTCAGAGGTTTTCAGTCCACGGTCAGCTGGCTGCAGGACAGGAACACCATGGTGGGAGGGTCTGGTGGGGAAAAGATGCTCAGTTCATGGGGCTGGGAACAAGGGCAGGGGAACAGTGCCAGAGAGAAAGGAGCCAGGGATCAGACACAGTACCCAGGTCAGTTCCCATGACCCACCCAGATACACCAAAAAGTGTGCTTTAGAATCCCCTGGACTTCTCCTAATGCAATTAAGTTGATCTCATGATTAATAGTCACAAATATTAACTAAAGGACTTTTATACAGAATTTATAAAGACCCCTATAATTTAGTAATAAGAAGACAATAATCCAATTAAATAGACAAATATTTGACCAGACATTTCACCCAGGAAGACAAACAAATAGCAAATAAGTGCAATGAAGGATGTCAGCAAGTCTGGGAATTCTTTTAACATCAAGGAGTAAGGAAATATTAAAAAAGTAATGGAAGGCACATTAAAAGGACACAAGGGCCCCCAAAGACCAAAGCTGGGTCAATTAGAGCAATAAAGCAAATATAGTAGTATTGGATTATAACCCACTGTGTAAAATAAATATTCTGAAGTAAACATTGATACAAACAAGTAAATGGAAGAGGAAGAACTGCTCTTTCTTGCAGTAAAATTCTAATGAGCAAATGTAGAAGTAATAAAGGAAACAGGAAGCCACCATTAGGTAAATGCTGCAGTAATAGTTGCTGAAGCTAAGGTGAGAAAAGATCTTGAAATGACTGACTGAAGTAATGGTGAAACAGGCTTTGGTTTAGTCTCAAAGTATCTCTCCATAAAACTTTTATTAACACAGGCATTGAGGGCCCATCTTAAAAATAACTGAACGGTATTCATCAAAAGAGTATATGTCTTCAGAGGCAAAGAAAGATTAAAGAACTGTTGAGGAAATTTGACAATTAGTGCAATCTGATGTCTGGGGTTAGATCCTGGACCAGAAAAACAAACGAGTGGGGAGTGGGTAAAATTCAATTTGTTGTATAATTAGTCTGCCATATGTATCTACACTAATTTCCTGGTTTCTACCTTGTTCTGTGGCTTTTTAAGATTAGGGAAAACAGAATGAGGGGTGCATCAGAGCTCTCTGTGTCACTTATGCAACCTGCATGTCAATCTCAAATCATTTCAGAATAAAAATGACATTTGGTAGCAAAAAAATCAGCATCCTTCATTGTTAGTGAAACAAAAATTAACCTCACAGTGAGGTAATACATACCTACCAGAATGCTTAGAATTAGTGAGGAACCGCAGCAATGAAGTGACTGCTAACGAAGACTCGGAAAAATCTAATTTTAACATCGTCTTTATTGTGGTAAAATACACATAACATGGGAGACACATTCAGCACACTCACTGTGTTGTACAACCACATCTCTATCCAGTTCCAGAGCACTTTTCTCACCCCATGTGGAAGCCATGCACACTGAACTTTGTCCTGTTTCAAAGCATATCCCAGATCTCTTTTAATCAGGAGCAGGAAGACACACAAGCATGGACAGGACCATCATGATGGAAGAGGCTTTATGGTCCCAGGCCCCTAAATTCAGGAGGCCCAGACCTGGCTGGGCCACTCAGGGAGGTGCGGAGGTGGGGGATCAGAAGCAGAAGAAAGCTTGCATGGTTTTCGGGGATGGGCAGGTCGAGGGGAGGCGCACCAATGATCAGATTAGGACTCTGATAGTGTGAGCGCTTTCAGCAGGCTCTAGGCTCTTACAGGGGTCCTGGTTTAGTGCTCTGGGCTGTGGGGTGCTGCTAAGATAAGTGGGCTTGCAGTTGGTTCACACATCAAGGCCCATGCTTGGGAGAGTCTTGAGATCTCCAGGAAGTAGCCAGGTCCCCCAAGGGCTCTTCCTGGGTCTGCATTGCATCAAGAGGTTACAGCATCATGAAATACAGAAAATAGGAGACACAATTAATACACTCCTTCCGACAGCTGGCAGCCACTAATCTGCTTTCTGTCCCTCCAGATTGGCCTATTCTGGATATTTCATATAAATGGAACCATACAAGCATGTGGCCTTGGTTTCTGTCTTCTTTCACAGAACCTGTGTTTTTCAAGGTTCATCCATGTCAGCATGTCAGGGCCTCACTCCTCTGGTGGCTGAGTAATATTCCACTGTATGGCTGTAGCACATTTTGTTCATCCATTCATGCATCCATGAGCATATGGGTAGTTTTTGTAAGCAGTGATTTGTGTAATGAATATTCATGTGCATGTTTTTGTTTGAACACTTCTTTTCAATTCTTTCATGTAATGCTCACAAGTATAAACATCCTACCCTAAGGAAAGAATTCTAAAGGTCTTTCCAAATGAAAAATGCAAATACTCAGATTCTAGATCATTCCAGTGCTAGGCAGGAGCAACTTAACTTGCAGGACCTGTCACACACAGGGGCTGCACCATTTCACATTCTCACTAGCAGAATGTGAAGACTCCAAATACTCCACATGGGTCCCAACTCTTGGTACTTTTTTGTCCGGGGGACTTGTTTGTTTGTTGTTTGTTAGAGCCGTTCACAGCTGGGCTTTGTGCAGTGCTGGCAGGAAAGCATAATGATTTACTAATTTTGGAAAACAGTTCCGCAGGATCTTAGAAAGTTTTGCACACACTTTCATAGGGCCCAGCCATCCTATTCCTAGAGAGACAAGAGATAAAAAAAGTTTTTCTGAAAAATCCTAAAAGAGTATAAATATGTGTCTATACAAAGTCCAAAACTACCCTATCTTAGTTTTCTTGTTTCTGAGAGAAAATACCAAATACCCAAAGCTAAAGAGAAAAGATTTATTTTCGCTCAGAGTTCATAGCAGTTTCAGTCCATAGTCCACTGGCTCCGAGGCAGGGGGTCACAGCAGAGGAAAAACAGTCCATGGCAGGGCAGACAGAAAGCAGCAAGAAACCAGCAGTGAAGTGACCGCCCCCCCCTTTCTCTTTTATCTCCTCCAGGCTATGAGCCTTTTGGGTGGTGCCACCCACACCCAGAGTGGGCCTTCCCATATTCACACCCAGAAATACTGCTAAACCCATCAGTTGACTAATTTAGTACCACACACCCTTAATCCAGTACCACACGGTCTAGATCTAGCCACCTTCATAAAGCCCCGTCTATGAGTGCACGAGGCTTTGGGGGGGACATCTAGATACAGGCCTAACACACCCCAGATTGCAAATTAGTAAATGTTCATCAGCCAATGAATGGATGCCAAATGGCAGCGATCTATAATAGAATACTGGGCAATAGAACAAAGCAAGCTACAGAGATGAGTCTCAGGAACATTATTCTAAATGTGACAAGGGGACATAAAAGGCAGTGTCCTGCATGACATTTTGGAAAAGACAAGATAGGAACAGAGATGAGGTCAGTGATTGCTGGGCTGGGAGGGGAGGTGAAAGGCTGCAAAGGGTCTCAAGAGAACTTTCTGGAGCAATGAGAATTTCATGGTGGTGGCAGTGGTTCCACATTTGTCAAAAATGTATAAAATCTTAAAATGGATGAATTTTATTGCATGTAACTCTATCTTTGACAGTGGTAGATCCCAGTGCTCCAACAAGCTGAGGCAGGAGGATTGCAAGTCTTGAGCCCACCCATGTTGGGCAACTCAGTGACTTGGTAAGACTCTGCCTCAAAATAGAAATAATAATTAAAAAAGTGGAGGATAGAGCTCATTGGGAAGGCCCTGGGTTCAAATCCCCAGTATCAAAAAATAAAAATAAAAAGAGTTTTATGAGACCCAGTTCACGACATGCGGCATGTCAGAGGGCTCGGCGTTCCTGACATAGTATAGGGAGTATGGACACTGGCTGGCTGAGGGTCTCACAAGTCAAGACCAAGGAAGTGAGAGGAAGATGTGGACCTTGGGAAAACTGAGTCAGTTTCCCGTCTCATGTCTACAGCAAATACTAGCAAGGCAGGTTTTCTTTAGCTAGATATTAGCTCCTTCTCCATTGCCTTCTCTTTCACCTTCTTCTCTTCCTTCCTCTCCATGGAACTGACCATTTCCTTAAACCTGAGCCTAAAGAAAAAAAATCTAGTTATTTGAAGATTCCCAATATTTGGGCTGTTATTGATTATTTGGCAAAGTATTACTTGTGGAATCATCTTAGAAGAAAATACAATAATATTCCAGATTCCTTCCACAAAGAATTCTTTAAAAAGAAAAGCAGTGCAAACATCTTCTTCCTTACCTATTCCAAACCTCTAGAGATGTCTTTGCATCTCTTGCCATGGGCAGGGCTGGGTCAAGGGCTACTCCAAGCCGCTGGGTCAGGCTGGCCATGGGTGTGGAGTGGCCTGAGGCTGGGGGAGCCCAGCCCACCTGCAGCGCCAGAGACAGAAACACATCATGCTGGAAACAGCCCTGCGTGTCCCCGAGCTCAGGGTGACTGTCATCTCTGGAGCTGGGGCCCATGACGTTTCCTCCAGGGAAAATATCTCAGGCTGCTTCACTTCATTCTCAGAGGTGAGAGGGCACCTCCCAGGGGCATGCGAGAGGGGCTTTTGGAAGAGGAAGAAAGAGGCTCACCTGGGCAGAAGAGGAAAGAGGACTGGAGAGGAAGCCTAGTGCAGGCAGGCGTGGTCCCCCAGGGCTGTGTAGAGCAAAACCAGTGCCCACAGGTCCTCAGGTGTTTGGGGTCACTGTTGCTTTCTCTTCCCTGGGTGAGATAATGAAATAAAGTAGACAGCCAGAGTCGAGTGAAATAAAATCATTAAAAAATGCGTAGCCTAGGGCTCTTGAAAGTGCAGCTCAGTGGTACAGGGCATTCTTAGCATGCAGAAGGCCCTGGGTCCCACCCTTAGTGCCAGAAAGCAATGAAGTGAAATGAAATAATGAAGAAAATCTATCGCCCTAGATGCTTACACACAAACACATGTGTATAAACACGCATCCCCATGCACACATAAATGAGCATGTAAATGAACACAATCGCACATACACATACATGCACACACACACATGAATCCACACACAAACTTACACATGAATACACCCACACTTCTCTCAGGCAGGATGATCTCTCTCTCTCTGCCTCTCTGCCAGTCACTCTGTGACCTTCATAATGGAGAAATTTTCCATCTCCCCAGAAGGGTTCCAGGGCAGATGTCTTTGACGTGTTTTTATATTCAAGATACAATCAGAGTTTAACACATGTGTAATCCAAGTTTATTGCTTTTAACATGTTAGGTTAAACCTGTGTCTTTATTCAGATATGTGCTAGGGCTTGTCACATCGAATTTTTAACTCAGGGATTCAAAGTTTTCCAAAGAACGTTGTGAAACATGTACACAATTTTAACAGAGGTCTGCTAAGGCTCAGAAGTGTTCTGGGAAGAAAGACCATAATTTGTAAGTTTGAAGTACTGGGGACAATAAATTCCTATGACCTCCCAGGGCAGTTTACGGCCTGGCCACGGAGGACAGGGGCTTTCTGAGGGTCAGGCTTGTGCCACGGAGGCTGCACACACTCAGACAGAGCTGGCCCGCTCCTTCTGAAATGTCACCTGGAGTCAGAATGCGACAGGGAAGCCCACGTCCCGTTAGGGATCATCCTGGGGAGGGGAGCAGGGGGACCATTCACCCAGGGGAAACTGAGGCCCCAGGTGGGGAGGGGACTGACGCAAGGTCACCCCTGGCAGTGACAGAGACTGGACCGACTCCTGCCACCTGGCCTTTGTCTTTCCTGCTCCTCTTCACAGCCTGCTGGTGTGGTTGGGTCCTGTGAACTCTTTCCCTCTGTTGATAAAGCAGTGTTTATGTGGTACGCCTGCCTGTTCCCAACTCATATAACTAAGGAAAAACACCGTTGATGCTCGGGCAGGTCGAAGTGACCTCCTTGTTAACCCAAGCGGAGCGTTGGAGCATTCATGGCACAAAGGGAGGAGTCCAGCCTCAAGCTCCTCTCCCCAGCTGCCCGCTCCCCGGTACAAGCACATGCACACACACATGTGCACACTACACAATGCACACTCACGCATGTGTGCACATGCTGTCCTTCCCTTCCCACTCCCATATGCACTCACACGGCCTCCCATTGGCTGCCATGTTCTCCCCACCCTCAAAATCACCCCTGGCCTCCACGTCCTTCCCCAGCACCCTCCTTGGGTTCCCAGGGCCTGCAGAAGGAACCCAAACTCCGTTAACTGATCTGCAGCCCTTCAGGAGCCCAACCCTGTCCTCCTTGGTGCCTGAACCCCCACCCTCCCCACCCGGGGCACCAGCCTGCCCTCTTGTCACCAGGGTCCCCTGCTGGGCTCCTGTGCTGGAGAATCGGACCAGAGTGCTATGCTGTGGAGGGCAGGTTAGACAGGAGGTGGCCATAGCATCCCCGAAACACCTGGATCCAGCTAAGCCTGAGGCCAGCCCTTCCTGGAGCTTCCTATGGAGCAAGCTAATTCCATTCAGCAGCTTTGGGTTGTATTTCTGTCACTTGCAACCATAAGGGTACTGACCACTGACTGTGGGGCCTCTCCACTGCAGGGACGTGAATCCTCTCTTGCACCTTTGGGTCCCAGCACCTTTCCTCACCCAAGTGCCCCACCCCTCCTGTGCGGGGTGATGCGCCCACACTCTATGGGTGTCTTTCCCAGGCCCCACCTGCTGTCCCCTGCTCCTCTCCTTCAACCCCCACATGCTGTGTTGTGAGTGCGTCTGCTTCTGTGGCTTCTACCTCACTTAGAACCTCATTAAACACAGAGTAAGTGACAATTAATTGAAGGCACTGTGTGGATAATTTGCCGGGAGAACTTAATTTCCTCCTGAATTTGTGCAGCAGCATGTGCATCTTGTTAGCGTAATAGCTGTGCATGGTGGGCGGGGTGCCGGCCCAAGGCCCCTCACCTCCCAGTGGCCTCCCTGGAGAGGGCAAAGTGTGCAGAAGGTGGAGGAGCAGGTGCGGGAGGCTAGGGGAGATGTGAGAGACAGTGGGGACAGAGGACAGCACAGTGACAGCTCAGAGCGGCCACCTGAGCAACCTTTATGCAGACTGTGTGGTGTGGGCAGCGGGGTTTCCGTGGGGCCATCCGGACTTGCATCTCTGGCCTGTCTGGCGGGGCAAAATCTAGTCTTCCTAATTCTCCTAATTCGAGATTTGAAGCCCAGCTGCTCCTAGAGCATGCTGGATGGGAGCCCAGAAACCCCCTGCAATGAGGGAGCTCTGGCATGCTGAGGTCTGCCCCCCAAGAGCAGGCTCTCAGGGAGCCCCTAAACTGGGCAGGCCGATGCTTGGCAGAGAAGTGGTAACGAGGGGAGCCCCTGCTTCTGCAGTCTTGGTTTCCCCATCCTCTGCTGGCCACTGGGATCCCCCACCCCGAGCGTCTTCAATGAGCAGCTGCCCGAGGACAGTGGCATGGAGGTCTCCGGTGCCCTGGCTCTGTGCCTCCCCTGTTTGAAGCCCTCCGAGGAATGCAGGGGGACCTCAAACCTCCCAGCCTGCCGCTTCTAACTTGCATTTTAGCTTTTAAAAATAATTGCAGTCAACTTCCAAGTAAAAACGATGGTGTGCTCCAGTGTCTGCTCCTTCCCTGTCAAACTGAACAAAAGAAACAACTAAAAAGCAGAGAGAAGGGGGAGTGGACAGCAGAGATATCTGGGAAGGGGACTGAGCCAGGAGGAGGGAGGACAGAAGCCAGAGCCTGGGAGCGAGTCCGCAGCTGGGCTGCCCCAGTGCCCCGCCTGCTCTCCAAGCAGGAAAGCTGAAGGGGAGAGCGGCAGCCTCAGACACCCCCTGCCGCCAGAAAGTTCTGGAAGGAGCTGGAAAGTTACCTGGAGAATGTGAGCCACAGAGGGTCCAGGCGGGAGAGCCCAGCAGCACAGGAAAACAGAAGGTCTGTATGGAAAACAGGGCAGATGTGTGCGAATCCACATTCTCAGTGGCGAGAACCCGCCCAGGCCCCTTTCCTTTCAGAACCCCAGGACCCGGGGCCTCCAGCTGGTGTCCAGGGCAGGAGGTGGAAGACGTCCTCTCTGGGGACAGTGGCTGCCTTGCTCTGTTTTTTGTTGCTGTAAAAAATACCCACTGCCGCGTAAAGCAAAGAGTCTCAAAAAAAAAAGAACAAAAAAAAGAGTCCCGTTTGGCTCTTGATTTGGGGTTGGCGGTGCTCAGGGCTCCTGCTGCACCACAGCAAGCCAGGTGATGTCACTCAGGCGGGAGCAGGTGAGTGAGGAAGCGTAGGTGCAAGAAGGAGCGAGACAGGTGTGGCCAGGCTGGCTCTTCCAAGGCCCACCTGCTCTGCAGCCAGCGACCACCCTCCACTGTGTGACGCCGCACGGCCTGATTAAATCCCTGAAGGGCCGCCTTCCTGTCACCCTGGGGATTTAGGTCTCAACCTGAGCATTGGTGGGGATGGACCTTGTGAGAACACTGCGGTGGCCAGTGACACAGAAAAGACTAACAAACGCCAATGACTAGGACTCCCTGAGCTGTGACTGGGTCCAAGGCGACCATCCTCATCTGGGGCGAGGGGACCTCGGGGCCAGCACACACACACACACACACACACACACACACACACACACATCCTCTCAGTGGCCAATACACTTTCAAACAACAAACTGTTCAATCTGGGCAAGGCCCTGTGGCTGACACTGGCCCAGGGTACATTAACGAATATGCTGCAATGCACAGTGCATGGGCTGTGGTTGGAGTCCAGAGCCCGCCTTGAGGAGCCCGCCAGGTGGAGGACAGCAGGTGCACTAGCTGGCAGCCCATCTACCTCCAGGCTGCAACTAAGGCCAGCTCAGCCCTGAACCAGGAGATGACCACACACACGGTGGCACCAAGCAGGACTGCCAAAAACATAAAACCAACCCCAAACCAGCCATCTGAGTCCAGACTGCCAGCCTACAAAATTGTGAGAAAATTAAATGGTTAGTGTTTTAACCACTAAATTAGAGGGGTGGTTTGTTAAATGACAATAGATATCCCAGACAGACTTGAAGGCCCAGAGGAAGTTAGCTTCATGGCTATCTGTGGGCAGGCAGAGCTTCCAGACTGGCTCTCATGTGGGGACAGGTACCCACATAGGACAGGAAGAGGCTGCTGTCAGACCTTGTGACGGGGTGAGCAGAGCCATAGAACGCATGGTCTGAGAGGTCATGGGCTGTAACCACAGCTGGGCTGGGGACCTCACAAACTGTGGTACCCGAGGTTTTCATGCAGAAAGAAAAGGACCCTCCCAGGCCCAGCAGAGGATGGCAAGATGGGACAGACACCCATGAACCACTGGACCTGGCAGATTTGCCCTGCATATCCTGGCACTGGTTTCAGCCAGTGCTGGGAAACTTGGCCTGCCAGCCCTCCAGGTGCTGGGGCTAGCCCTGGGGAGGGAGGTGTGCCTGGGATGGTGGTTAGAGGGACCAACCATCCTGTGACCAGGGGTTCAAAAAGCAGTGCCATTGTGACCCAGCCTCTGTCTGCAGCACTATCTGAAAGCTTCTGGGGAAAATGTTCTCTTGGCAGCTCCTACACTACTTTGAAGCAGCCTTTGATTTTTTTAAAAAAGGGCTGGCTCCATGCTTAGCTTATTCCTTTCATTTGCCAGTTCTCAGAATCATGAGTCAATTTCCTAACAGCAGCCAAAAGTGACTGTTAAGATTTAATTTGACTGACATTGTGAACTCATGGATCTTACCATATTAGATGCACTGCCACCCATGGCAGGCATTCTGCTGGGGCTACCCATCACACCCAGTTGGCCTGTGGATGCACTGCCAAGGTCTTTCCTGATCCCTCTGACCTGACCCCAGTGGCACTGGTGGCTTAATAAGTTCCAGGCTTGTCTGCCACAGGTTTGGCCCAAGACCTTAGATCAGCCACCTCCTCTAGGGTTGACAGTGGCAGAGCTCGTTATCACCATGAGGCAGTCGCTATCACAGCTCACATCCTTGCCGTGGGACAGGACAACAGTCCTTGGTCTTTTCAGGAGTCAGGACCAGGAAGTACCTTGTTTAAGCGAAAATACATCTTGAGTCCATGCTGGTGATGCCAATGACTTTAGAATTACATTTCACTAATTTCTTCCATTTTATATTTGTATCTCTTTTTGAGGTTAGAAATCTTGATTCTCAAAGATGTGAACTTAATCCTTTTTAGCTTATGATATAGCATCAGAAGTGCAGCGGCAATGTTATGACTAGAAATAAGAAAAATGAAACATTTAAGTCTTTTTTTCAGTTCTTTTTGCTTTGGAATATATCTCACTAGGAATGTACACGTAAATTATCATGCTTTGAAGCTATCATAAATTATTCCCATCTGCATGGCTAAGTCACTAATATGATACAAAATTAGGTACATTTGTTTGATTTTGCTTTTGACATTTTAGGATTCTGTTTTTAAATTTTGACTTAATTTGTTGTAACTATGTCAACTATTTCTATGATTCCAAAGTCAAATCTACAAAGTAAAGTGTATTCAGGGAAGCTGGCTTCTATGCCAATTTCCTATACCTTATTCTTTCTCCCATTCCTTTATGTCTGATTTGATCTCTTCATTGTTATTAGAATTCAAATTTAGTATATATTCCAAGTAAAAAATATCATATGAGTTTTTTAAAGAAAAACTTTGGTTGACTCTTTGACTATGTGTCGAAGGCCACTGTTCACCCCACACTGCAAGCCCATGTTACCAATGTTGAGAATCAGCACTGTGTGTGAGGTGAGGGTGTGCTGGTGCCCCCTGCTGGCCAACTCTAGGGTGTGGGTACCCCATCAGGGTATCAGAGTTTCCTTAGAGGACAGTCCGAGCTGGCTAGTTCTGCAGAAGACAACTTGTTAGAGATGACAGCACCATTTGCAGAGAGTTAAGCAGGCTCAGACAGAATGCCACCTCCAGCCCCACCATGGAATGGAGGCAACTGCCTCTTAGCACGAGGAAGACAGAGATTCCAGGCCCGTCTGGGATGGAAGAGCTGCTGCTTCTGCTGGCTCACCAGCCATACCCACCTGCTATGCCACTCTCCAGGGAGCAGGTATCCTTCCGTGCCCCTAGAATCTACTGCCCAGGCCCTGGGCTGTCAGAAATGCAAACATTCCCACCTGGGCTTCCTTTCCATGTCCCCAGGAGTGCATCCCGAAGACCAGGCTGTAGGGGCTGAGAATGGTTGTGCTGCTCTTCCTACCTGCTGCAACTCAGGAAGAAAGGGTAGAAGGGTGGAAATGAGGACGGGATGGTGGTGGTGGCAGCATTAGACACAGCGACAGAAACTTCATGATGGAATCTGTCTCGTGTCCTCCTGAATTCCAAGGGGAAACGTTTCTTTCTCTTTTTGTGGGGGGAGAGGAGTCTCACCCTGGAGTCTCACAAGGTCTCACCCTGTCATCCAGGCTGGCCTGAACTATGTAGCCCAGGCTGGCATCGAACTTGCAGTGCTTCTCCTGCCTCAGGCTCCCGGGTGCTGGTATAACAGGCGTGCACCACCATGCCTAGCCCAGGTGATTTAAAGGGGACTCTTGCCCATGTAAGTATGACTCCACCCTACTGGTGTCATGGCTGTAATTTAGGCAGATGATTGGATTGGCTCTTGTATTTGACTTCCAGAAAAGGTCTGGAGGATCGTCACCAGGACTATATTGTATTTTGTTAGGAGATCTGAGAGCATCTTCATTCCTAAACCCTGGGTTTTAGGACTGAAAATAAATGCTTTTTCAGCTGCTCCACCCCTATCAGCTGCTATTTCACCGGGAAACTATTTTGTGATTGAAAGCCAGGTGGGAGGGGGTAGTGAGGAGGTATAAAGCATGCTAAAAATAAAGTCCATAGCATATGGTCCAAGAGTAGTTTTTCCCCCTACAACATGTTTCTAACATTCAGCAAAGCAATGCCAAAGACCCCTATAATTTATCCAGACATGCTATAACTTTGTCACAGAACTCTCAGGAGCCCATCTCTGGAATTTGGGGCTCCTGAGAATAATGGGCCACATACATTGCCATCTCCAAGAGAGAATAAATAAAATGAAGAGGCCAAAACTCTTTCACTATGCTTGTGGTTGTGGGGCCTGTGTCTGCACAAGACTGCTCCTAATAATAACGCAGAAGAAAGTGCTTTGTGAACAGGAAGGCGCTGTCTGGGAGACGTGATCCACCTCTCGGTAAATACTGGTGACACATTCATCTCTTGGAATAATTCCGTCACACAAATACAGGCTTCTGCCCTCTGCCAAAGCTTTGCAAATTCACTAAATGCAAGTAGAGGGAATGCACCAAATCATTAGAAATGCACACCGGAGCCTTTAGAAACACTTGATTTCAGCCTCCATCAAGAATGTCCCAGAGTTAAACTGTGATGGGGTCTTTGGAGGGACAATGGCTCACCTGTGTGGGCATCTGCACAAAAGCAGCAATCCCATCGTCATTACAAATTACCATTTTATATAGCACTGGGGGTTCATTAAGCACACATTTTATTATCCCAGTAAATCCCAGGAGTGGTGGGAGGAGTCCTAGTACTGAAGAACATCCAGAGGTGGCAGCCCCAGCAGTGTGACATTCAACTGCAGCAAGATTAATGCCAAGCTAACAGCCATGGAGTTCACAGTGAAAATGCATCACTCCTCTTACTTGTGGCTGGAGGAAAACAGGCAATAGAGGAATCTTTTGGAACAGCAGCTCATTTTTTAGAAAACAAAGTCTCATGGAAAAAAGAGCACTTTTAAAAAAACATATATGAAAAGCAGCATTGTCATGATTTTTCCTACCCAGTAATGAATAAAAATACTGGGAACTATATTTGCTCCCTTGAACCCTACTGCAGATATTTCCTATAAGTCTGAGGGAGTCTGGGTGGTCCAGCCACGGATATTCACACACAAATATATTTTGTGGCTCATGCTATTAATACATCAGTTTTATTAGCCTTATCCGTGACTTGATTTAGAAAGAAATGATTCAAACTACATCAATAACCAGGGTATTGTTTCCTAGATCGATTACCTTTTCACTTAGGTTCCAATTCAGCCAGGACCCTGAAGATCCACCCAGACTGGTCCGCTGGGTCCCACACTGTGAAGCCACAGGTGCTCTGCATCCATCTCCCTAGCCAAAGGGGGGCCCCCACCCCGAGTCCCCTGGGGCTCAGCTCCTCAGGGCTGCTCCGCTCAAGACCAGCCTTCTGGGCTGGGCAGTTTTCCTTCCCAGTGGGGCTATTTACTCTGCCTGGTCCAGGTGGGAGAGAGAGACAGAGAGAGAGGTAGACAAAGGAGAACACACGGGAGAAACAGAGAAGGGAAAAGGGGTGAGCCAGCTATAAGGAGGTCCCTCTCTTAATGAATGTCTCTCCGTTTGGAGGGAGAAAGCTGTCACCTGTGTCTAAGCTGGGCAAAGTCGCCTGGGATCTGGGACTCCCCAGCTTGGAGCCCAGCAGGCAGAGGAAGACCGAGCGGGAGGAGCGGGCCTCTTCCATCACACACAGCCCAGCTAGCGGCACGGGACTGTTCGGGCCCTGGCTGCTCTCCGTTTTGTTCTTTAAATTTCTGCTTGAACATTTTAAAGAAAGAGACAAGGAAACATCTTTGCGAAGCAGGATAAACCTCCCGCCTTCCCAGAATGCAGGAAGGAAGCCCAGAGGTGCAGGAGGGGACCCTTTACCCATCTGCTTGGGACTCCAGCTATGTTGCCTACACAGCGCTGCCCTCCTTCAGTGACCCTTGGGGAAAATGTCCCCCAAGAGAGGCCCCGTGCCTCTGGTGCCCACGAGTTCCCTAAGGCGGTGTTCACAGCCTACGTGCTCCACCTCGAGGCCAGCCCTGCGCCCCCAGGAACAGGCTAAGCCAAGGTCTCCAGGCCCAGGTTCAACTTCAATAAAAAGGCCCAGCCCGCCCTTGATCGAGCTTTTGGCCTGACGGCCCCGCTCACAGGCCCGGCTCAGGCCCGGCCTAATTGAGCCCGGGTCACCTGGGAATAGGTTCAAAGGCATCAAAGCCGCAAACCACCTCCAGGCCCCGAGAGCCAGAGAGGCCTGGTGAACAAAGAGGCCCCAACCACTTCAAAGCGCTGGCGCTTGGTGTCCGGATGGCGCGGGGCCCAGGGTCTGCGGCGTTGCCCACCGAGGCTGAGCCCCTCGTTCGGCTGCCCTGCACACGCAGGCCTCCCCAGGGGAGGCTGGGCCGGAGCGGTGCCGAAGACCCCAGAGCATCCTCCAGCGACGCGGGAGCGCAGAGGCCGGGCTGCGGCAGTGCAGGCCCGGTGGGGACCCAGGCTGCGCCCAGTACCCAGGGCAGTGCCAGGCAGGGGATCGCTCCATGAAGGCTCGCAGTAGCTCAAAGTTTTCAAGCATTTAGGGAAAGGTTTTGGGAAGGCGTTGGCCGGCGCTTCCCCAGCAAACCGGAGCAAGAAACGGAGCCCTTCACCGGCCGGGCCCGCGCGGGAAGCTGATCCACGGATCCGGAGGTGCGTCCGTGGCGTGGGCTCCGCGCCGCATCGGAGGGTCCGCGCGGCCCAGTACGCGGCGCCCCAACGCCCAGCTCCGCTTGGCCCTGGCCGGTGCCGTGCGCTCTCTGAAGGGCAACTGGGGCGCACAGGGGTGTAGGCGCCCCCAGAAGCTCGGCTCCTCACCTCCCCGGAGTGCATCTGGGGTCGGCTGCCTTCCCGCTCGCCTCGCAGAGACCCTTGGTCAGGCAGGGCCCGATGTCCACGTTGCAGCGCAGACAAAACCAGACCCGACCCGGCCCAGAGCTCCGCACGGCCGGTCGTGGCCCGCGCCGGGGATGGGGGCGCGCGAGGCCGGGCTCCGGGGTGGCCGCGGCGGCCTCGGCCCGGGCGCAGCCAAAACTGAAAGCGCCGCGCAGGGGGGCGGGGGCGGCCGGCAAAGGCCCCGAGCTCGCCCTGCCCCCGGCCGGCCCCGGCGGCCAATCAGCGCGCCGCCCTCGCTCCTGACAGCTATTTAGCGACCCAGGCCGGCTAGGGTTTCCAAAAAAGTTAGAATAACTTCCTCTCTCGGAGACCTCGGTTTTGCACGAGCCGGCCTCGAAAGAGCCCCGAGCCCGCGAGCGGCTCCAGAGCGCGCCCCGGCCCCACGCGCCCGGGCGGGCGCCATGGAGGAGGGCTCGAGCTCGCCCGTGTCCCCCGTGGACAGCCTGGGCACCAGCGAGGAGGAGCTCGAGCGGCGGCCGAAGCGCTTCGGCAGGAAGCGGCGCTACAGCAAGAAGTCGAGCGAAGATGGCAGCCCGACCCCGGGCAAGCGCGGCAAGAAGCCCAGCCCGAGCGCGCAGTCCTTCGAGGAGCTGCAGAGCCAGCGCATCCTGGCCAACGTGCGCGAGCGCCAGCGCACGCAGTCGCTCAACGAGGCCTTCGCCGCGCTGCGCAAGATCATCCCCACGCTGCCCTCGGACAAGCTCAGCAAGATCCAGACGCTGAAGCTGGCTGCCAGGTACATAGACTTCCTCTACCAGGTCCTGCAGAGCGACGAGATGGACAATAAGATGACCAGCTGCAGCTACGTGGCCCACGAGCGCCTCAGCTATGCCTTCTCCGTGTGGCGCATGGAGGGCGCGTGGTCCATGTCCGCCTCGCACTAGCGCCGCGCGCCACGTCCGGCCGGGACCGCGCAGGGTAGGTGCCGCGCGGGCGGCGCGGGTGGGTGCGCGCTGCCTCCCCCGGGGCCCGCGGGCCGGGGCGGTCAGTTCACCCGCAGGCTCGCGCGGGCATCTGCGGCGAGCGGGTGGGGAGCGGGTGGAAGCCCGGCGCCGGCGGGCAGGGACTTGGCGCCACGCTGCTCGGCGTCCGAGCGGCACTCGTGGCCTCGCCTCCCGCGGGGACCCTGCCCGGCGTTGGCGGCCCAGCCGCGCGGAGGAGCAGAGGCGCGGCCGGTGGCGCCCGGCTTTACCTGAGGAGCGCGGGAGACGCGGGACAGGCTGCTCCCCAGGTCCGCTTCGGCGAGCGCCCGAAGGCGCGGAGACCCGGTGCGCGGGGCAGGAAGCGCGCGCGGAGGATGAGGCCCGGCCGCTGCCCGCAGGCGCGTGGAGCGGGCTCCACGCTGGGAAAAGGGTCCGGGCACAGCTGCGACCCAGCTGGAAGGTCTGGTTTCCCGGGAGGAGCTCTCAGGGCGTCCTGCGACGGCTCCCTCGCACCGGACACCTCCAAGTCCGGCATACAGGTTGCAGCAGGGCGCCAGTCCCGCTGCCCTCTTCCCCCGCATCCCGGGCAGCAAGGAAACCAGAAACTCTCTCCCTTGGTGGGGGGGGAGTGTAAAAATCCTACGCAGTATGTTTTAGTCTTCCATACATCTTGTGAAGCTTTTTATTAAAAAATAAAAATAAACAAGTCTGCTTCCCTCAAAAAGGTTTAAGCGCCCGCAGCCGCCATCTAGGCTCAGAAATGTACCTGTGTGTTTTTCATGTAGGTCGATAGTACCTGTGAGTGTGGTGTGTAGGCTGATCTAGCCCAGGTGAGGTTTCTTTCTTCTTCCTGATTTAATCTTTTATTCCTGGGTCACTGAAAATTCTTTTGATAAAATAGTCCCCTGAGATACTGATTGTTTTATAGTTTTAAAAAGAATTTTTAGCAGAGAATAACTTGGGGAATCTTCTCTTGTCTTTGTCAAAAAACAGATGGAAAGTATCTCAGTCGCGTACTTCTCCAGGAAAGAGTTTGGGTTGGCTGAGTACTAAATGCTACAGCAGGACAATACATTTATTCTGTTTTTTGCTGCCTAAATTATGAGCCTCCATTAGTTACTTCCATTTACACTCTAAGTATCTGTGGTTTATACCACGTCTGAAGTAGGGACAGGCAGATGAGGAATGTCATCTTTTTAAAACACGCACATAGAGCTTTGTTTAAGAAAAATGTCAACAGAATTACTGCTAAGACTGCCCTCCAGAAAATGATTGGAAACAAACACCAGGAGTTATTACTCTGATGCAGAAATTTAGCAGAAACACTTAAAGTTCACTTTAAAATGATTGCACCCTTTAAAACTGAAGAGAATCAATTGTAGGTCACAATTAAATGTTATATAAAATAGAAATGCAATACCGCTAATAAACAAAAACTGTAAGCTTGTTTGGATTAAGTAGTCCTTAAAATATTAGATAACAGATGTATCAGTAATTGTAGAACAAATGATCTGTATATGGACTTACTTATTTTTATATAATTGAATATAATGGCTAGCTTAGATAAACTAGTTTCTTTGAATAAATATCCTCTACAAGAAAATAAATATGGAAGTGTTTGATGCTCTACTGATTCTGGACATACCTTGGTTTTATTAATCAGACAATGTTAGGCAAACATCTTTGTATTCTCTTTGTTTTTAACCCATTAGTCTGTTTGAGCATAAGTACAATCCTAATTAATTTAGGGTTTCCTAGAAATATTTGTAAACGGTGTTTATTTATTTGTAACATTTCCAAGAAGGATTACTTATATATACCAGCAAAAGCCATCTGGACATTTCAGTAAGTTTTAGATCCTTTTAGTGTCTAATGCGAAATATTTTCACATGTGTGAAAAGGCTGTGTCCAGACGAATGGCAAGAACAAAACAATACCTAAGCTGCCTTTTGACGTAAAGACAGAGCGGGAGCAGAGGAGCGGGCTGGTGCCGGTCTTTTCCCTGGTCTTCTTTTTGGCCTGGTGTTTAATTAGGTAGAGGTCTGGTGTCTGCACAGTCAGCTGGATTTGTCTAATTGAAAACTCTAGAAGGGAGGGGCAAGGTCAGAGCCCCCTGGTTTGAGGTTGAGGAAGGCGACTGCTTCCTGCTAGATGTTTGTCCTCCTTGCTTCACAGTTGAAGAAAACATCTAACCTCGCTAAGCATGTGCAGAGTTCCTGTGTGTTGCTGCACTTGACAAACTCACCCTCTTTCCTTTCGGAGAACTTCTGGCTCCTTTGGAGAAAGTGCATGTTCCGTCACCATCAGACACCCGTGGACCTTTCCTTGCCCCTGAACGCTTTACTTCTCGGAGGCGCACCCTGATTGCTATACTTGGGATGGCCTCAAAAGAAAATTAGTTCTTCCTGGAGAAGAATGGAAATGCAGAATGTCAGTGGAGCTTTGACTGATGCGTGCGAAGTGGAATGAAAAGCCGAACCACCTGAAATACTGAAAATGTTTTGCTGTAAAATAGCAGTCACCGAGATGTATGGAGGGAGCTGACTTCCGCTCTAGGGTTAGCGTCCTCCTGAATATCAGTCCTTACTCTCCCAAGCTCGAATAAAGGAAGTCGTGGTCCCAATCTGTCGGGTGGGCCTGTGGTGGAGGCTGGGACTTTGTGGTCCGCCTTTTGAAGTCATTAGAAATATAGTCCTTCACTGAGGTCTTCTGGAAATGCCCATTTTCCAGGCAGGTCGTGAGCCTGAAAGAATTGCGTTTTCATCACCCTAGCCTGCCTGTACCCTGAATAGTCGGCTTGCATGCCAGATTCCTTTTGCCTGGCAAAAAAGATCATAAAGTAAACTCATTCTGTGCAGAGCCCTATAACTCATAACTTGAGTTTAAATCTGGGCTTTAAAAAAAACAAATATTTTAATAAGCCAATTTTAAAGGCTGAACTTTTATGACAGTTTTTAAGCTCAGTATTTATACTGGTGTATTCTCACTGGTGTCTTTAAGAAGCCTGTGAATGCAGGCTGGAATGTCTGTTTATGTTTGCGTCTTTTCCTGGGAAAGGATGAATGTACTGCAAAAAGAAAACCAAATACAGTGCTCTCCACTAGCAAAGGGTTCACGAAGGAGGCCATAAAATTCAGAGAAGAGATGGATAAGTTACTGTAGCCAAGAAATGGAAAGCTATAAAGAGAAACAGGATCTAAGAGATACACACATGGATGTTTTCAAAAGTGAAGCCAAGATGAAACATTAAAATGAGAAACTGCTTGAAAAGATACTCCACGTGGTCACCTGAGCTTACACATGTGGTAAAAATCCAAGGAACTAAACGCACACATGCATGCGCCTGCGCGCGCGCGTGCACACACACATGCACAGGGGCACATGTCGTGCTGGTGACTCTGAGGAAGTCCTGCTGCCGGCTCCACGGCAGGTTCCTGGTTATGATGTGGTTTTCACATTTGCCGGGAGAAGATCCTTAGGGGAAGTGAGTGAGGAGGGGAAGGGAACCTTTGTATTTTATTTCCTAACAACTTCATGAGACTCTACAATTATGTCAAAATTAAAAATTTTTAAAACGGATATCCCACAATAATTTTAAATCTCTAAATGAGAAAATTTCATAAGGAATTATGACTAATTTTATCTCAGAATAATAAACTAAAAGTCTACTTTGAGCAGAATCCATACTTTTCTTTTTCCTGATGCCCCTTGCATGATTGTACTTCTCGGAATGTGAGGAATCTCAACATATAATTAATCAGGACTGAGTCTTTATAGTGATTAAACAGAGTAGCATTTCAAAAATATGAGGGCAGAAACACCGATTCCAGTAGAAATACATATATTCCTTTACTACTAGAGAAGATACATCTTGAATAAATTTGGGGAAATATTCACCCAAAACATAAACATTTACATTTAGGATATTAAGTCTCTATTGACTTTTATCAAATAAACCCTAAAATTCTAACCCCAGTGATTTATGGAATCGTTCACTGAGCAGTATAGAGACTGAAGTTTTAGGGTTTGGAGTCATCGACTGTGAGAAGGAAAAATACGGCAGGACCGACTCAAACCCTAAACTTTGTCTCATGCACACATTTTGTTTCATGCAATAGCAAACTTTTCATGTGATTCAGTTATGTTAAACAGTGCCTTCACTGAATGTTTATTTTAGAATGAGAAACGTTCTAGATCCCACTGTACCTCAGTTTACCCCAGCAGCAGCACATAGGTATGTTTTCATGCTGATGTAACCTGGCTGCTTATGATCGTTGCATCAAGGAGAGACTTGGACCTGAAATTGGAAAAGACAGCACATAACTGTATTCCAACATGAGGGGAACTTTTAGTGGTTAGGGGAGAAGAGAGTCATTTTGAACCCAGTGTTTGACATGCTTCCGATGTCTGTATTATTCTCCCACAAGTCCATTGCTTAGAAGGCTGTGTGGACCCTGTGATTATGACTGAGACTCGGCTTTGGGAGCTCAGAGTGCAGTGCTGCTGAGTGTGTTCCTCAAGGCCTGGCTTCTGGCCTTATGTTCTTCCCTGAGTTATGTGACCAGGGCAGATCAGATACCCTCGCTTCTCCCAAAGCCCCAGGCAGCAATGTCTGTGTAACGGGGCAAATTCTTCCCCTCTTCAGCTTTCCTGCCTATCACTGAAGTGAAGGACAGAGGTAAACTTGGGGAGCTTTCTGTTCTCAGAGTCAGTGATTCTGAAAAACATCTTGATTAAACTCACATCCAGCCTTAAAAAATAGCCACCAGCATCTTCAGGGGAACTGGTGCAAATAACTGTGTTGACCAGTGTT